TGTCCACTTGTCGGATCCGTGGCACCTTATAGCCGACTTGAGCTGTCGGTGAAAACGCTCTACCATCCCATTGGCCGCTGGGTGATACGCCGTTGTGCGAAGGCGTGTGGATCCAATTAAATTGTTCAGCGCAAAAAATAATTTGGATTCGAATTGCCTACCCTGATCGGTGGTAATCCGTACGGGAGCACCAAACCGCGCTACCCAACCGTCATAAAAGGTTCGAGCTACGGTTTGGGCCTCCTGATCGACCATGGGGAAGGCTTCCGGCCACCGCGTATATCTGTCTACACAGGTCAGACAATACCTGAAACCTTCGGACACCGGTAAAATTACTATGTCTAAATGAATGTGTTCGAATCGCGCAGAAGGTTTAACAAATGTAGCCAATGGTGCAGTCACATGACGGGAAATTTTTGATCTTTGGCACGGTATACAGCAACGTGTCCACGTGCGAACATCTCTTTTAATCGACGGCCAAACATAACGTTGCGTTATGAGCTTGATCGTCGCGTTAATACCTGGATGTGATAATACATGTAACATATTAAAAACTGCACGTCGGAAAGGAGGGGTGACATAAGGTCTTACATTCTTAGTCGAAATATCGCAAAAAATTTCGGAAGACGTGCCAGGCAACGAGACTTTGCGTAATTGCAGGCTAGATTCGCTATTCAACAACCGCTGCAACTCCTCATCCTGGGCTTGCGATTTTGCCAATTCTTCGAAATTAATCGAGTGGTTAACCGTTTCCACTCTGGACAGTGCATCGGCAACGACGTTGTCTTTACCGGAAATATGTTGAATATCTGTAGAGAATTGCGCAATGTAATCTAGGTATCGGAATTGTCGAGGAGAGCATTTATCTAATTTCTGTTTGAAAGCGAAAGTTATGGGTTTATGGTCTGTAAAAATCGTGAAATGTCTGCCTTCGAGCATATGTTTGAAATGTTTTATTGCTAAATAGATAGAAAGTAGTTCCCGGTCGTAAGCTGAATACTTCTTTTCGGCAGATCCTAATTTCTTAGAAAAGAATGCTAATGGTTGTCGTTCGTTGCCGACGCACTGATGTAAAACAGCTCCTACGGTGTAATCAGAAGCATCGCAGGTAACCGACAATGGAGCGTTGACCGCAGGATGAGAAAGCAGGGTTGCGTTTGCTAAACTATTTTTGGTATTTTCGAAAGCCTGACGCGCTTCCGAAGTCCAGGCTATCGGGGTCTTGCCCTTTAAATTGCCGGCTAAAAGGTCGTTCAAGGGTGCTTGAAAGCGAGCGGCATCTGGGATAAAACGGCGGTAAAAATTAAGCATTCCCAAGTACTGCCTCAAATCCTTCGCGTTTTTCGGAAGGGGAAATGACTTTATGGCTTGTACCTTGCCGGGCAAAGGTTGAGTGCCGCTTTCATTTACCCGATAGCCTAGAAATTTAACTTCTTCCTGTCCGAACGTGCATTTATTCGGATTAACAACAATGCCATAATCTTTTAATCGTTTAAATAATAATTCTAAATGGCGCAGGTGATCGGCTTGGGATTCTGAGGCGACCAAAATGTCGTCTATATACGCGTAACAAAAATCGAAACCGCGTAAAATTTCGTCGATAAAGCGCTGAAATGTTTGCGCGGCATTTCGTAACCCGAACGACATGTACGGGAATTCAAAAAGCCCGAACGGCGTTGTAATGGCCGTTTTTCCGACGTCTTCCGACGCAACCGGAATCTGATTATAAGCACGGACGAGATCTATTGTGGAAAATACCTTTTTGCCACTCAGTTGTTGCGCAAAATCCTCAATGTGACGCACGGGGTATCGGTCGGGAATTGTCCGTGCGTTTAACGCTCTATAGTCACCGCAAGGCCTCCAAGCTTCTTCGCCCTTCTTCGGAACCATATGAAGGGGTGCTGACCACGCGCTCTTCGAAGGACAAGCGATGCCCATCTTCACCATCGCGTCGAACTCCTTCTGGGCAGCCCTGAGCCGGTCCGGTGCAAGCCGCCGCGGCTTGCTGGAAACGGGTGGTCCAGGGGTTGTCTCGATGTAATGCACCGTTTGGTGCGTAGTCCTCATCGGGGTGCCGCTAGGCCGTGTAAGTTCCGGCATCTGCATCAGGAGCTGGTGGTAAACGGTAGTCCCTGCTACTGTCTTCACCGACGGCGTTTCATCCTCGGCTCGTGTTCCGCGGACCGTTAACGACGTGGTCCGATCGACGAGGCGACGATTGCGGATGTCCACCATAAGATCGAAGTGATCGAGAAAGTCTACCCCGATTATGGGTTTTGTAACATCCGCAACCACGAATCGCCACACGAAATCCCGTCGTAGGCCGAGGTGCAGGTTTAACGACACTGTCCCGTAGGTGTTAATTACACTCCCATTCGCCGCCGCCAGCTGGTACTCCGATCTTTCTCGCAATCCGCCTAGCAGGCGGCGCGGAAAAACGCACAAATCGGCCCCGGTATCCACTAAAAATTCCGTCTTCGAGCTGTTGTCTAAGATGAAGAGGCGGCGTGATGCTGGATTTGTGTCGCTGGCCGCCATCAACGACTCCCCAGGTCGTTTCCCTGATCCGTGGCGTTCCAATTGCACGGTGCAACGCACCTCTGCGCGGCCGGACCGAACCGCCAATGGTACCAGCATTTCCCTTGATGGTCCATTTGTCCTCCCGCGGGCCGCTCTCGCGATCGCGATAGAGATCGTCTGCGGTAGCGCGAGTTTGGATGATTTCGGTGGGTCCACCTGCGACGGGAAGATTGCCCCTGGTCCACCAAGGATTCACGGATGGCAGAAATTTCCTGCCTCAAGGAAAGAGCCAATTGTGACATCTTAATGTTTAACATGGCCTCGATGTTCGGGCCCGGCGGGGGTATTTGGCAGGATGCAGATACGCTCGTAATCGCGGCCTCCGCGACGTGTACCCGCGGTGTCATCGTATCCGCAACAGCGTCTGCCAACTCTGCCACCTTATCCAGCGGGGTGTCCCGCTGCGTGGCTAAAATCACCTGCATATTAGCAGGTAGTCGGCCCATCCAAAGCGTCCGCAATACACCGTCCGAAAAAGCCGTACCGGCCAATCCGCGCAGGTGACGAAGAAATTGGGACGGTTTTCTGTCCCCGATTTCCTCGTGTTCCAATAACCGCCGCGTTTTCTGTTCCTGCGACGCACTAAGCCGGCGAATGAACTCATTTTTTAGCGTCGTGTACGGATCCGCGGCCGGGGGATTCATGATAATGTCTCTTACTTCCGCGGCGTGTCGCGCACCTAACGCGCCGAGAATGTACCCGAATTTCGTGGTCTCCGACGTTACATTGGATACCTCAAAACTTCTCTCTACCATTGAAAACCACATCTCCGGGTCTCCCGGACAAAACTCGGGTATCCGTACAGCGACGCGATCAACTGCCAACGGCACACCCGCGGATGTCCCTGCGTTAACGTTAGGGTCAGTCATTTTACCAGTCTTAGTCACATAGTTTCACCGCACACACACACCGCGCTTACTATTTGTCAGACCGTGTCCTTTTCTTATGTCCTTAACACTATACACTTATTTCTCTACACTAACTAATATTGTCCGTATACAAAAAATGTCCAAATTTTCTTAAAAAAAACTTTACTTGCGCGGCGAGATCACGTCGGGGTCACCAATGTGGGATCGGGAAGATAATGACTCCGCTCTGTTCCGTTCCGCACAATTTTATTGTTGCTGTCGTACAACGACGTGACTCGTGGTGCGGGTTACGCTCGACTCTCTGGTACGATCATCGCCACCGTACCAAGAGGCCTTCAAAAACAAAAGACGGTCAGAGACGACGACAACGGCTTTTCGGCTCACGCGGCTCTGGTCGTCTCGTGTGCAACCATCGTTTCGTGTGCAACCATACATTGTAGCGGCTTCGAACGGCTAAGGCGTATGTGGTGCCTTGGCCGCCACAGTACTTTTCGTAAAAACAGTGAAAACATAACAATTTCAAGCACCACCTACATCTAATGAAAGTTCTGTTTTCACAGAAATAACAAAATTTTGTATTTAACTCTGATGGAAAGGCCGCTTCATTTACATTGATAAAATGTGAACGATTTTCGGATAGTCGTACCTTGTAGCTCGTACTTTTTACCTTATACTTCAGGTAAAAAGGGATATACACTGGGAAAAACAGTTTTATGACATTACCTGCTAACTTATGTTACTGTTCTACAATGTACCTTTAAAAATATTCGACTATGTCCTTTTAAAATTTAAGATCCAACCCATACTTTGTATTAAACTGGCAAACGGGATCACTTTTCCTTTGTTTTTAGTTAGTTCTATTTAGTTCGTCATAACAAATTGATACGGTTATCTCAAAACAATCGAGGAATAATCATTATTAATTAATTTCTGCAATTATTAATTCTATTGTTTTGTTTATGTTATAAAAGTAAGAACTCTTCTTATTGAAAAATACCACAGCGTGCACAATGCTGGTAAAGAATGGAATCTCATTTTAATTTATTAATTTTCAATCTTAAAGTATTTTGATTTTCAAAAATCGTATTAATAATATACATATGTGTGCTCATACATGGGAATAAAAAAAAATTTCTTTTTTTTCAATAATTAAAATATGATTAGGGGGTCTTAAAACGTGTATTTCCATAAAATAAATTTTACAAAATTTTTTTTTCATTATGGGTAAGTACTTTGCTTATGTGCGCCTACATAGGTCGGAAAGTAAAAATGCCTGGGCAGTCGAGAATCTCGGCTCGAGAATCCAAATCGTATGCCGTTGACGGGAGGTCGGATTTCAGTTGTTAAGAGTGAGAAGACAAATGTAAGCCTTTCTCTCTCGACTCCCACGAAGCGGTCGAAATTACTTCGGGCAGCTTCGGAGAATCGAGAAAGAGGGCTTACGTTAGTTTGCCTTTGTCGATTCTTCGAAACTCCACGAGCTCACGTACGCGTATCTAGCATGTATGAGTGTGCACCCGACGGTGCTTTTCTGGCATCACTGATGAGTGCAGATATCGAACGAACTAGGTCAACGAAAAATCGTGTTGCGCGAACTATAATAATTTCATTTGATTTTTCTATGCAGTACTAACTTATTGATTGTTAGGACACGGTTTAACGATAATTATTTCTATATTGGTGACGGTTTGAATAAACAGATAAACAAGCTTTCTGTAACTGTATAAACGGAACAGCTTTCGAAGCAGCTGTTACTGGAAAATGCGATAGTGCGCGTCCCTGCCATATTTTGGCAGACCAACGACTAAAACGTGTAACAAATAATCTCGATTGTTAGCAGACTGCTCGTGCCTCGAGCATACTACTCATTCTCGTTTGCGAGAAGTTATTAATAATAAACGTACTCGATGAAATCGGTTGCTTCTGTCCCTGAAACGAATTTCCAAGGTATCGGGCGTGACATGGCAGAGCGGCTTGGTTTGGGACCCGAAATTCGGGAACTAAAGCTAGGACCGACATTTACGAACAATAGATCCACAGCCTTTCACACTCTGAAATGTTAGTACACAAATTAATTCAATTTACTATCTGAATCACTGAAATAGTAGCATAGATTTCGATATATTGTCATATGTACTTTTAGTACATTGACCCTTTGATGAGTACATTTTCTTAGAAAATGCGTAAGACTGGAGAGTAAGCTTCGTTTGGTAGCGTTTACAAATTTTTATTATATATTCACGTTTGATTATGTCCAATTATTTTGTCCGGAAGCTTTGCAGTATCCGATGCGTTAATTTTGTTAAGATTGTTAGCTGCATCGATGTTTTGATTATTGGATAATTAGTTTAAGTTTAACATTTAATTTTAGATGATTTTAAACCAGCAAGTGTCGATGTTTCCAAAGTAGCAAGGGTTGAAGTTGGAACTAATAACACGATGACAGTTACTGTGCCGCACTTAGATGGTGCAGGAATTCCTCACACAGTTTTCAAAGGTTCTCAAAGACCTTATCATAAAGAATGTGTTCTGATAATAGATAGAGTTACAGGAGAAATTACTTTGGAAAAATTAACTGCAAACATACAAGTTAAAAAAACTCGGTAATCCAACATAGCATCGATGTTCTTGCAATGTGTCGAATCATAATATTTTTACCTTCTATACTGTTGACATGTGTTGTAACATTTTTTAGAACAGAACCAAAGTCTCAACCACACTTAGGAATTCCTGGGGGAAATAGTAGTAGTAGACCTATAACACCGGTTGAAACTAAGAGGAGTCCAACGCATGGAAGAGCAACTGGGAGGACAAAAGTTACAAGTGGAAAAAAAAGAGAACCTAGCGTGCAATTACATCCAAAACAATTTAGTCCCCTTAGAGTTTCTCCATATCATGGCAAAAGTCCACCATCTACTTCAACTAATAGGTATTTAGGTAGTCTTTAATGCAAAATGTAAATGATAGTTAAATTTAGTAAATTTATATTATTTGATAAGTTGAAGAGAACATTTTATTTATGTAGTAATGTTATTGTAACGCATTAAGATTTTTTTCTAAACGTACTAAAAACACACAGAACTTTAGTTCACCAGTGCAACCATCAGTGGCACCATCAACTTTGGCTAGTTTGCCAATGATCGGTTCCGATAACGATGACTGTCCTTTATCATCGTCTGGATCATTCCCGACTATAAATTCTTCCGCACCACCGAGATCGTCTCCTGCAATAAATACTCAACCAACGACAAAATCTGCAACCGTAGGCGGTGACGAAGGAGCGCTCAGCGATTCTACTACAAGTAGCTCGAGTTCAGATAGTTCCGATAGCGATTCCGATACCGTAAATAGACCAGCGTTAACGGGAACTAATGGTACGACTTCAAGGTATTTATTACTGTTATTAATCGAGAAACTATTAATTTTTCTTTTTTAGGACACTTGAATAGTTCAGCTTCGTCTCCCACATTACTAATGCCAAATAATCTTTTAAACGATGACTTGCAATTATCAGAATCGGAATCTGACAATGATTAATGTAACGTACGTGTAAACTGCATATGGTAGTATCACCTTCTGTAATACATCAATTTTCGCTACAACAGTATTTTTCAGAAATGCTAAAAAATCTTCTGAAGATCGTTTCGCCAAAAATTATATTTTTCTCGGCATTTGCTACAGTACATCAAAAGATCCACGAAGATAAGTTAAAAAAATGTTAATTTTGTTCTGTGCCACCCAAGGAAATGTGTATAGCAAGTTGGAAAGCATTCTACGCATATCCTGCAGTAAGTTATGCTATATACAAATACACAACAAACTTTGCTTTTTGAGCAATAAATATATGGTAAAAAAAAATGATGAATACAAATGGTAATGTAGCGTATGTATATTTATTTATAAGGTACTAGGGATTGTACAATTACTATCGACTAATATTTAGTGTAATTATATGATCTTCATTTTCTTATATACTTTGAAGGTAGAAATCTTGCCAAAATCTTTTATGCGCTTCCTGGTAACGTGGCAGAAGCTTTGTTTTTTTAAAATCTTAAATCGATTCTTTGTGTTTTCGAAATACCGAATATCCAAATGCCATACATGATATGTATGTACATATATCCGATTGGTTATCTATGCAGTCTCTTCATAATACAAAATGTTATATACGATGTGTGCACAAAACGATTTAACAACTGTATTACTTACAAAATATTTATTTAAATGAAATGTATAAATTTAATAAAATATTCATTATAATATGAATCTTATTATATACTTACATGAAGAGTATGTATAATTAGCTCGCGCATTAACGTCATTTCAAGTTACTGCAATTCTTGTGTTATATAAACTATATTCATCTTTAACTCGATAATAATATCATTTTTAATTTCATTAATACTTTTCTCGGTGAACGTAATTCACTAACGCAAATTATGTTCCTAACGTTTGGTAATCTAACACTAATCTGGCGAGTTGACTACGCCGACCTAAGTAGAAATTTCTCGATTGGATACAACGCTTGTACATATTACCGTTGCAGGCATTAGTGCAATTGATGTTTTTGTATTTTACTTTAAGGGCTGGTTCCACTGCGCGTAGTACATGTAAATTACTAAAAGAAACGAACATTTCGAACAAAGATGTGACAGGTATATTCTGAGAGAGCTTCAAAAGGGATGGAATGTCCCGATCGGAGTGTGTTATTGGAATATCGGTCTCGGTGGTTCTCCGCACTAAAACAAATATCGAAATGAACTCGTTAAAACGAATGTATTCTATTAAACAATTGGTAGAAAGTAAATACAATATAATGAAAAGTTCATAGAAACACGTACTTGCGTTGTAATCTCTGACATAAAAAGCAATATTGTTATAATTGTATTCGTCGTATCTTCCGTGGTTGCGGTTGATATCAGTGTCGACTTGTTTTATATCGTTCATGTGAGCGATATCAGGATGAAATTCTACGAACGGAATTGGGCTAAATATTTGGTACTGATTGATGGTATTCATGCGGATCTGAATATTGAAATATCAATTAGTTTGCTACCGTTAAATACGAATCGTCTACTGTAATATACATACTCTGTTTAAATAATCCAATCGTAGTTGTATTCCTGTCTCGACGAAAAGTATTAAACTTTCGGGTGAAAATTTTCTAATACACAAATCTGTGACAGCAATAGTCAGCATAGGATCGAATTCAATAGACGTTACATTATTTGGTAGACGTATAGAGAGCCATGTGATTTTTGACTGATTTTTCTTATACTTTTCAGCCAACATAAGTGCGTACTGTTTAACATCGTAGAATACGTCACCTTTACCTTTTGAAGGGGAATCAAAATTATACAAGAGAACCTATATAAAAACCCAACAGATTAACTAAAGGCTTTTAAAAATATCTGAAAAAAACCACGAAAATACGAACCGCCATGAAAAAAGTTTTGTATTTTTTCTCCATACAGTCTGCAGCATACTGTTCTAAAAAGTTTAACGCATCTTGCTTTCTCAACGAGTCGACTATTAATATTATATTCACTCGTGTATTTTCTGTTACGTATGGAACAGGTAAAATTTCAACTTTACCAAGTGGTTTGCATACTTCCACTCTTTTTCTGATTTCTTTACCAGTAGTCACGTCGACGAACGCCAAATCTAATATATAATCCATTCCACGGGACGCATCGAACTTTTGATAACCGTTGAGTAACTTTTTAAATTTTAATTTCTGATCGGAATTAGCAATGACGTCAGAAGATGTTATGTTGATAATTTTATCTATGTCAAATTTCGCATTGGTTTTCAATTTCTGTACGCTCGAGAAGTCTGTACTGAATAATGTGTGTGTCTCGTTGAAATATGTCCACCGCAAAATATCAAAACGTCCGGTAGCTTTGTTTCCCGGCTGATTGCCAACGGGCCAAGACACGTCGTGTTCTTGCGGCGGTCCCAAATGTGCCATGTTTAAGATCGCTTTTCGAATATTAGAAATGTTTTCCTGAATTTCAACGGATTTCACCTAAAAACGATAAATAAGCAATACAATGCAATTAAAAAGTTATACAAATTTTTTTTAACGTAAGGTACGCCCTGACGCTAATGTATTAATATTATATAAAAACTTACTGCTGCAAAGTAAGTGTTAAACTTATAAATGGTATGATGATCGTATATCGGGTATATTACGAGTGAATTTATGAATTCTTCATTTTTAGCTAAATCCTTTAAATTCTGTTCGAATAAAAATGTTGATTTTAATTTGGTGAACGAAAAGTCCTGTCCTTGTACGCGATTAGAACAACGCATCGAGGCAGAATGAACGATACATCGTCCGAAATTAACGTCATCCGAATCGGAATAAGCATTTTTAACGCACCAGTCTAAATTATTTTTGACTTCTTGTACGACTGAATTGCTCAAAAGAATTCCTGAATCTGAAAACAGATAATAGAACGTCGTTATTGGAATGTTATTTTTATCAGCGCAATTATTTGACACACTAATTATTTTACCCAAGGAACAATAACTTGGAATATCTCCGAGAACACCTGCATGAATGTTCTGGCTTACGCTAATCTTGGTAACAAATTGTACTAATTTTTTAGCATTGATGTAGCTTACATCTTTGATCAAGAAATAGTAATCATAATTCTCCAGGTAATTGTCAATTATATATTTCATAGTATGGAACGGTTTCAAAATACTTCTGGTGTCGGTGAATCCAACAATACCAGGAAGGGTAACATTAGGCTTCGTTCCTTCCGGTATAGAAATGAAATAATGAACTTTATCCACAATGTGAGCAATCGTTTTATTAATTGCTATGTCTCTGCTGTGCAAATATTGCTGACTTGTGATCACCCCTACAAATAGCTTTTCTCTGATTCCAAGTTCTGTGAAATAATATCTTGGGCGTATCAATGTTTTTGGAACTTTTTGCGCCTGCTGTGGTTTACTATTAATATTTATTTTTGGTTCGTATTCGTCTAGATCCACTTGATAATTGGAAGATTCTATTAGGTGTTCTGCTTTCTCAATGTAATTGTTTGTATCGATTGATACTGATATCATACTGAGACTCAAGCCCATGCTTAGTCCAACTATTAAATACATATTTGCCCAGCAATGGGACAAAAATATTTTTAGTAACGGATTCATTTTCGTAGAGTGACTGTAATTTACGATACGAATCAATTTAATACTTATAATAGAAAATGAAGTCTTACTGCCTTTTGTTTTATGAAAAAAATATAACTTATACTTTTACTTCTACATACCGATTACATTCGATTTCTTCGAATATTAATATCAGATAAAAAAAATATACTTTAGTAACCTAAAACACACTCAATCGATACATGAAATTAAACATTTTTGTACGATATTTTTATTGTTCGTTTCTCTCGCTTAGACATGGCTACACAAATTACTTTGCGTACAATTACTAAAGAAATTATTAACATTCGTTTAATCTAATATTATCCTAGCGATCCTGATCCGAGAACGTCAAAACAGTGATGCCAGAAAAGCACCGTCGGGTGCACACTCATACATGCTAGATACGCGTACGTGAGCTCGTGGAGTTTCGGAAAGACGACAAAGGCAAACTAACGCAAGCCCTCTTTCTCGATTCTCCGAAGCTGCCCGAAGTAATTTCGGACCGCTTCGTGGGAGTCGAGAGAGAAAGGCTCACATTTGTCTTCTCACTCTTAACAACTGAAATCCGACCTCCCGTCAACGGCATACGATTTGGATTCTCGAGCCGAGATTCTCGACTGCCCAGGCATTTTTACTTTCCGACCTATGTAGGCGCACATAAGCAAAGTACTCATAATGAAAAAAAAATTTTGTAAAATTTATTTTACGGAAATACACGTTTTAAGACCCCCTGATCATATTTTAATTATTGAAAAAAAAGAAATTTTTTTTTATTCCCATGTATGAGCACACATACATATGTATATTATTAATATGATTTTTGAAAATCAAAATACTTTAAGATTGAAAATTAATAAATTAAAATGAGATTCCACTCTTTACCAGTATTGTGCACGCTGTGGTATTTTTCAATAAGAAGAGTTCTTAGTTTTATAACATAAACAAAACAGTAGAATTAATAATTGCAGAAATTAATTAATAATGATTTTCCTCGATTGTTTTGAAATAACCGTATCAATTGGTTATGACGAACTAAATAGAACTAACTAGAAACAAAGGAAAAGTGATCCCGTTTGCCAGTTTAATACAAAGTATGGGTTGTATCTTAAATTTTAAAAGGACATAGTCGAATATTTTTAAAGGTACAAAACATAGCGTTTCATTGTAGAACAGTAACATAAGTTAGCAGGTAATGTCATAAAACTGTTTTTCCCAGCTATATCCCTTTTTACCTGAAGTATAAGGTAAAAAGTACGAGCTACAAGGTACGACTATCCGAAAATCGTTCACATTTTATCAATGTAAATGAAGCGGCCTTTCCATCAGAGTTAAATACAAAATTTTGTTATTTCTGTGAAAACAGAACTTTCATTAGATGTAGGTGGTGCTTGAAATTGTTATGTTTTCACTGTTTTTACGAAAAGTACCATCCAGATTCATGTACTTCGTACATTGAAAATAACATATGTTAAATGTAATTGGTTAAATTCAACTTTAAAAAAAAAATATTCGAAGGTCAGACAAAAATATAATGTCACATTTAGTGTACGATTAAAATATGATTGAAAAAATAAAAAAAAAGGATTTGTTTTGGAAGGGTTTGAACCTGCAGAGCAGAAGAAGCTCGGAGAACTTGCAGGCAAATACCTTGTCATTCACGCCACCCTGGTTGTTGAATGTATTTCAATTTCTGAAGATAAGTATTTGTAATAACTTTAATAATATCTCAAAGTAAAACCTAACCCAAAATCGGGTACCATTCCAACTTTTCCTTGTTAGAACCGAGTTTTCAATTTGTCTTAGCGAAAATCGTAATCACATTTTGCACATTATTCTAAAACATTTGTGGTATTCGTTTTCAATGCGATTTAAGTAAGTGTCGGAATCCCGGGGACCGAGAGTTTAAAGACCACGGGCGTTTTTAATTTAATCTCTTTATTAACAAATTCTGTACTCGCTATCGCTTGCTTTCGCTGTCGTTCAAACTCTGGCACACTTCTTCCAATCGCTCACCGTTCCTCTCATCCATTATCTCTCTCACACTCGCTCTGCCGTGCTCTCTGCCCTCATCCTCACCAATCATATAATCGTTTACAAACATTCCATCTTTCGCACTTTTCGATTCGCCCAGACATACACACACTCATGCACACCTAGTCGCGCGTCTTTTCGCGGCTGGCGCGCGATTCGATGCCACATAAGCATGTAATGTATAAGATTTCATTTAATTTTTTCTTTTCTAGAGAAGATAGAGAAAAAGTTTATATAATTTTTTTTATATCTAAGGCGTCGGGAAAAGGCAAGGCCCAAGCCGAGGCGCTGGCAAGGGACCGCGTCTGGCCTTCGTCCGTCATCACTCCCACCCCTACCGATGGGGGAGAAGGCTGACGACAAAGGCGAGGGTCTAGGCCCAGGACGGGCTCATTTGTTTTTCCGACGCTGAAAGAACGGGAATAAAGCATGTATACGAATATCCTGCGTATTTCTTAATTCCTAATTCCATTCTACGCGTCTGTCTGACATATATAAAATTTAATTCGTCCTAAGATTTATATGAAACATTTAAAAGATTTTTTATACATTATGCCTATACATATATCGGAACAACTATGAAACAAGAGGTATAATCATTATTATCCATGGACTGATTATAGTCAAAGTCTAACCGGACTTTGAAATGAGAACATAAAACTTAAATTGTCGGGGTGCGTTTTAACAAAATACTAAAATATTTTATTGATACAATCGACTGACGAAGCGAGGAGAAAACAGGAAGAAGAAGAAGAAGAAGAAGAACGAGCCCGCTCGCTCGCGGATTATTTATACACCTCGCGCACACGCTCTCTCTTTCTTTCCTTCTCTCGCGCGCGCGCACGCATTTCTTTTCTAATTGCGCGAATATTCAAATCGTTGCTACAATTAGGCCATCCTGATCGTTCGACGTCCTCGTCGACAGTCTTCTCCTCTCGCTTCGTTACATCAGACGCATACATGATCAACACCTTTTTCGAGTAAGGTATTACATTTCATCTACATGTTCTACGACTATCTGTTTTTCGGGTGCTCTTCTCGAACGTGTCTGCGCGCGATTCGCGTATTCTCCCGCTCGCGCTATGAATTTTAGTCGGTCTACCGCCACCACTCCCTGATAAGTTCTGGCGCTCTGTTTTTCGCCCTCAATGTCTCGCACAACATAGCGGTCGTTTCCGAGTACCCTTTCGATTTCGTACGGTCCTCGATATTTGGGTGACAATTTGCGACTTTCACCTGATGCTGGCGTTTCGCTTCTTATAAGGACTAGATCGTTTACTTGGTATTCCCTCGCTTTGGCCCGTTTTTTGTTAAATTGTCTGCTAAGCGCGTTTTCGTTTTTCTTTAATAATTCACTAACATCTTCGCTCGTCTCTGTTACTCCAAATTGCGCGTTAATCTCCCGAATCTCTTGGGTGAGCTCGCTTTCGTGCCATCCCGGGGCTTTATTGGTAAAAACAATTTCATACGGTGTTTTTCGCGTAACTTTATGCCTACTGCTATTGATGCCCCATTGCACATCGTACAATTTTTTATCCCAGTCTTCGCCATTGATTTCGTGCGTCATCGCAGTTAGGCTATTTAGTATAACGCTGTTCGTCCGCTCGACTTGCCCGTTCGCACGCGGTGTGCCTGTAGCTACCTTTATGTGTTGGATCCCGTGATCCTGGCAAAATTTTTCAAACTCCCTCGCGGTAAACGCTGTTCCTCGATCACTGACGATACGTTTGGGCCTACCGTAGTGTGACATAAAATCTCGGATGAACGCCAAGGTAGATCTCGTCCCTACATCTTTTGTTGCCCTTAACACTACATACTTGCTGTATCCGCATATAATCACAGCTACATATTTATTGTCACATTCCGTCGTCGGTAACGGCCCTAAATGGTCGATATGGATAGTTTGAAACGGAGCACTACCTTTGTCTAACGGGTGCAAAAATCCGGGCTTTTTCCCCGTGGGGACCTTAGAATATAAACATGTTACGCATCGATTCACGTATTTGGTAACAAAATCACGCATCTTCGGGAAATAATATTCTTCCTTGGCCTTTTCTAAAGTCTTATCGATGCCTAAATGTGCCACTGAATGGTGCGCTTCGGATATTATTTCATAACGTAGGTCGCTCGGTACATATAATCGCCATCGGCCTTTGGTAATTTTATAAACGCGCGCATTGTACATTGTGAATTTTTCGTGAGCTTGCGCTTCCCCTGCTTCTAATCTATCGCGCAGACTTAATATTTCCGGATCTGCTCTCTGCATCGCCGCTACCCAATCTGTGCCAATTTTTATTCCTAGAACGGGAAGTCCCGTGACTTCCATATCTTCGCTCTCTTCGACCGGATTCCTACTTAGCGTGTCTGCTAGTTCATTCCGTTTCGCGGTGTGATATTCGATCTCATAATCAAACTTGGACAATTTTACAAACCATCTTCCCACTCGCGGGTTTAAATCCCTTTTGGTACCTAGCATTTTAAGGCTATTGCAATCTGTTTTTATTACAAAGTGGGTTCCTATCAGATATACGCGAAATCTTTCCAGCGCACAAACGATGGCTAAGGCTTCTAGTTCAAACGAATGATATTTTGCCTCTTCAGGCGTTT